TTGTGTTTACACGTGCAGCAAAGCGCTCTTGGGCTTAACGCAGCCCCTAATTTTGTTTGCATGCTGACACGATGAATCAGCGGGGGAAGTGACCTGAAGTGGAACCAACAAGCCCCCGGGAGTGCGGATTCTTGGCCTGCCTCTCTTCCAGCCGGAGAGACGTTATTGTGGAAACGCGGCTTCGGGATGGTGTCGGCTGGGCTGAACGGAGCTCACCGCTCCGCAGTGAAATTTATGGTCTCCAGAAAGACCCAGGATTGTCAGCAAAGTGTCGGCACCAGTGCTTGGCAAGCTCCCTTCGCTTAGTTCAGAGCTGGCTCCACCGTTACAAGTTTTCTGAGCAAGAGTCCAGAGCGAGCGTCGCCTTTCCCTCTGAGCCTGTAACGTGGGTGCCAGCACACGGATGGCTGGACAAGGGCCGCCTCTGCTCTGATGCAAACATCGATTATTTCCTGAGCAGCACCGTCTATTGATTCCTCCTTGTCCGAGGAAGGGAAGAGAGGCTATGGATGGTGAAGGGAAAGACTGGAGGGGACTTACTGGAGCCTGCAAGTTTATCCAAGATTTTATTTCTGGCAAGGGCTGCCTGTTCATGACATCAGCTCTGGTATTTCCAATCCCTGAGGGAAAAGGGGGGAAGGGGAGAGAGAGGCAACGGGAGAGGGTGGAATAAACAGGAAAATGGCACAGTGCAGTGCTGACTTCTGCAGGGTCCTAAAAGTTCTGTTGTCGTTCAGGTGGGAGGCCGCTTGCCGGCTCCCTGGTCCAGGGCACGAGAAAACCAGTGGCCCAGCTAGAACCTCCTGACTGCACTGGGCCCTGGCCTCCAGGCACCTCGCCCTTCTCTTTGCTGGAGCTGGCGGTGTTCCCGCCCCGCCGGACGTTTGAGCTGAGAATTGGAAGCAGCAGGGGGAAAATAAATTTAAACACGGTCAGAGTTTAAAGATACAAGATCCTCTGGTAACTCTGCTTGCAACGGGCTGAGTCCCGGTGCGACGAGGAAATGCTGTGCTCCAGGAGCCGGCCAAGTGCAGGCTGGGGGCGGACGAGGGCAGGTATTCCTGGCCCTCTGCTGTGCGGCCTCCCATCTTTCCCAGGGAGGAGAGAGAGATGCTTGTGATACCCCCCCGCCCACCACCACCACCTGCAATGCCATCATTTGGAGAGTCGCCGCCTCTTGCGTGGAGACGGCCATGTATTGTGAAAGTTCTCTTGCGCAGGGCAGTTCAGGCTTGTCCTGGAGCCAGGAAAGGGGCAAGCCTACACATCAAGGTCAAAAGGCTGGCAGAAGGCCGAATCGATGTGGTCCCCATGCGGAAGGAGCGCAGTCCGCAGCAGGTCTGAGCAACCGGTGGCCCCCTGGATGGGCTGGCCTGCTTTCCCATCAGCCCTAGCCAGCCTAGCCCATGGTGGGCAACCACAGTGGTAGATCGAGCAGCCGGAGGGCCCGAAGTTGCACGCTCCTGGTCTAAGGCAAAACTGAGATCAAACATACAGTAGGTGAGCTGTCCAAACCAAGCTCCATCCAGGAGGCAGGATCCTAGCAGAGGCCCAGGGGATCAGCAGCCTGAGGAACGGTCCAAACAACACGCAGGATCAGAAAACCACCCATGCCCAGCACTGCAGCTGGCTCTGTCCCCATTCATGGTTTCCTCAGGTCCACCACCATGGAACACCCTGGGGCTGAAAGGAAGGTCTTGTTCCAGCAGCTCGATGGTGCCTGTGGAAGACCTCTCAAGGCAGGTGTCCCAGTCCACACCAAGTCTCTCCCTCATCATTCCCCTGCTTCTGAGAGAAGACCGCTTCCTTCAAATGCCTTCACAGCCCAGCTCTTTCAGACTCCAAGGATTGCGCTTCACCTCCTACTGGCAGCCCATGCCCACAGCGCTGGGTGGGCAGTGGCTCAGACCCCTCCTCTGACACCGTGGCTGACGCATGATCCTCCATCAACCGCTGGAGCCATGTTTCCGAGTCTGCCTGGGCAAGGTGCTCTCCCTTAGTTCCACGCGGCCCTCGGGATCTTAATCACAAAGCTCATCCTTCGCAGCAGTCCCATCTTGCACTGAAGGGGTGTCAAACCTCAGGCCTGTAGGCCAGATGTGATCTGCCCGTGGTCCCAATGCTTTAATAAGGGCCTTCCATATGGAAAGTGACTTGACAGGGATAAGCTACCGGAAACCACAGAATGTGGTCAAAGGGGCATGTTGCAGCGGAGTCTAAACCCAAAAAGTGGCCGTGCAGACTTGAAGGGTGAACTCCCAAGCTCCCAGTGCCTAACTAAATGCAAAATCAAAATTCTTCTTTCCGTGAACGTGCATTTTTGAAATACAAATAGCCTGTGGTGGGACCAACCAGGTCTGGGGCCACGGCAGGTGGGAACGAGCGCGTGATGCTGCCTCATTCCAGTCCTAATGACACACATACGCACCCTGCAATTCCCCAGGAGGAATGCTCCCACCAGCTCGTCCAGTGGAAACATCCCTCGATGTTCATGAAGTCCAACCTCCGGCTAAAGCAAAAACTCTGCTGCAACAGCGTTTCTGGCGCTAATTGAGGGTTGGGCCTAAGCAGCAGCAGAAGCCCATTCCGTTGTCCATGTGGATGCTCCTCAGATATCGGAAGATGACCGTCACACTGCCTCTGAGCTGCTGCTTCCGTCTCTCCTCACAGGACTCATTCCCCCGTCCCATCACCAACCTTGCTGGCCTCCACCGGACATGCTCCAGATGGCTGGCATCCTTCTTAATCTGTGGTGCCCAGAACCGGACAGAGTTACCCGGCCAAGGTTAAATCGGAGTAGAGCAGAACCTCACCAAAGCAGGATCCCCTGCCACCAGCTGCGGCAACGGTGGCCAACTTCTAAGATGATGGACTTAATGAAGAGCGTCCAGATGGCAGCGTATCACATCTCATGGCAGTTGGGATGGTCTGGATGCCAGGGATGGCACACTGCATGAAGGGGTTCTGTGGCACTGCTGTGGGCGTCTCAGTGGGGCATTTGTCTGGCAAACAGCACTGGAGGTGGTCGGTCCTTTCTCTAGCCCAGCATGGTTCTCCTTATCCTTCTTCTTCTGAGTGGTATAGGAGAAGATCCCTCATTTTGTGGACAGCCAGTGGCACGCTTGATTTCCCCTCAGAGACCGTGTTTTTCCATTTTAGCACAATAAGGCTTCTACCCTGGAGCAAACCAACCATCTTCCTTGTTATAGGACTGCTGTCTTCATGGAAGGACCTCTATCAAACTCTTTCCAAAGCACTGTCTCCCAAAATAATCCAGAATGGGGATGGAGCTGGTCTGGTTTTTCTAGAGCCTTGAAGACCTTGCAGCAAAAGTCAGTTCTAGCCGGACAAATCGGTGCATTGAATTCTGCTTGGTGTGGGTAGAAATGATGGACTCCTGACAGCACGGAGAAGTTTGCTGACGCAGTCAACTTTGGCCCAGACATTAATATTCTACAAGCCTCTTTCACGACAGGGGTAGGCAGCTATGAATCTGGGCTCCATGCAAACAGGTTTGGGAAATGCTGGTCCAGTGCCAACACAAACAGAAGAATGTTCAATACACACGCCAGTCCTATCAGTCCTCCCGGTCCCCTTCAGGCTAAAGTAACACAGTCATTGATGCTGAACCTGTTCTGCCATGATGGCTGATTTCCCTCATTTCCTGTATCCTGAAGGTACCATTCTTTGCATTCCGTTCAACAAGCAAACCACGCACCTGCTTGCAGTATTTCTTCTGTGCACAACCAGACAGTTTTTATCTCAAGTTGTTTCAAAGCAAAACAAACACAGAACGGGGCTACCTTTGAAGCTGAGACAATTTCAGGGATGAAGCTACATCCATGGAGCTTCAGGACTACAAAGAAGAGATGCCACAAGTCTCTGTTTAGGGCCACACGTGGCAACCTGGTAGCGGAACACCTGTGTCCCACGATGTGACTCCACATCTCTGCAGATGTTCCTGAACACTGACACCAACTGCATGAGAACTGCCCTTCCAGTCTTGACATTATACACTGGGAAAGGTCCATGTGAGCAGCTCAAACAGGTGATCGGAGGAGTAAGAAGTACGAAGGAGTAAGAAGTACGAAGAATCCTTCTGGTCAGGCCAGAGGCCGACCTAGTCCAGCAGTCTGCTCCCACAGTGGCCAACCAAGATGTCTGTGAGATGCCCACAAGCAGGACAGAAGTGCAATAGCCCCCCACCCCAAGGCTGCCCCACAAGTGGCCTTATGCTGGAAGCAACGTGTGGCCCCCGTGACCAGTAACGTGGATCGCTTTCTGCCCCACGGATTGTCCAACGCCTATGGAGGTCAACCAGGTTGGTGGCCATGACTGCATTTTGTGGGAGCGGGTGGCACCGAGCCCCCAGATTGGATGGGTCTTCCTAGCATCCCCTTGGAACACTCGGCAGCCCCTGCAGACCCTTTCCCTCCACTGCCTCTCCCTGCCCAAGGGCGAAAAACCTCACCCAGGGAAGGGGATGCCATGGCCGCAACGGGAATCCAGGTGGGCAGGGACGGTCCTTCTCTCCAGAAAGCAGCAGCCTGGGTGAGCCCTGGACCCAGCTGAGAGGGAAGTATCTGCACGAACACAGATACAGAAAGCCGCACACAGGGTCAGGGCCTTGGCCCACTTAGCCTAGTATTGCCAACACTGACTGGCAACAGCTCTCCATGGTATCATCATCATCATCATCATCGGTTTGTAGGCTTCAATATAAACGAGAGTTTCCCTGCACGCTCACTTCGGTTTCCTTGCGTGTCTAAACCGAGTGTTTCTGTTTGCACAGAGAAGATGCTGACAGCTCACTCCTCCCTCTCTATCATGGACCGATAAAACAAAATAAATGTTTCTGAACTTTAGCTCACTCTGCATCTGTGTTGCCAGATCTTTTCTTTTCCCCCTTTTCAGAATTTTGCTCTGAAACGTTCTACGATTCAGTCTGTTCCAGACACTTTAAAACACACACACTCACACGACCCACTAGACAGACCGACAGAATAAAACTGGGAGGCTTTTAGGACCCTGCATGGCAAAGGCTCGCAGGAAGCCCTGAAACTTCCCAGCATTTTTCAGAGCCTGATGCTTATTCATTCAGAGCAGGAGCAAGGCTGTCCCAGGGAATGGGGGCGAGCAAAGCAGCGATGTGAAAGAAGCGAGAACGAGAAACTGTCCCGAGGAAAACATTCGAGGTGCTTTGGGGTGCTTAAAAAAGGCTCCTTCCTTGCTCATCCTTCTCAAGTCGGACATGAAGCTTGCTGAGGACGCCCGGAGCAGCTTGAAAGAAGCCAGGAATGGGCAGAGCTGAGCCTTGCTCACCTAAGGAAGAAGGGAAGGACGCACCGAGAGGGGGAGCACAGCCGGCCGCCGGAGAACCTCCGGGCTGCCCGCCTGCCGTTCCCCGCACCAGGCGCCTTCTGCTGGGGCCGAGCCCCTTGATCTCGAGCCCACCATGACACCGTGCGGGCCCTGCACTCTGTGGGCTTTGCTGCTCCTCAGCGCTCTCCTGCCGGTCCACGGGCAGTACCCCCAGGGCAGCGACGCGGAGGGTGGGCGCTGGAGGCAGATGATCCAGTGGGAGAACAACGGCAGGCTGTACAGCCTCCTGAACTCGGGCTCGGAGTACGTGCCGGCCGCCCCGGTGAGGGCGGACAGCGCCAGGGTCATGCTGGCCGACGCCGCCCCGGGCCAGGGCAGGAGGGTCCCGGGGAACATGCGGCGGCAGGCGCCCACCTTGCCGGCCAGGGCGGGCTCCGACACCATCCGCGGGCAGACCCGGCACCCCTTCGGCTTCGGCCAGGTCCCGGACAACTGGAGGGACGGCGCCACCGGCCACGGGAGCGCCACCGCCGCGCGGTCTCGGACGCCCACGGCCCGGCAGCGGCAGCTCGGCGCGGCGTCGGCCGCCTCCTCCTCCTTCTCGCATGCTTCCTTTGGGCAGCTCTACCCCCCGGCCTCTTACCCGCAGCCCCCGTTTGCCAACCAGTACGAGACCTACGACCCGCAGGTGCCCCGCGCCTACGACGAGAGCTACACCTACTACCGCACGGCCGGGGCCGGCGGGGGCGCAGTGGCGGCCGCCGCAGCCAGCGCGGGAGTCGTCTACCCTTTCCAGCCCAGGGTGAGGTACGAAGAGTACACCGAGGAGCAGAGCCCGCACCGGGCACAGGGGTACTACCCCGCCCAGGAGACCCCCTACCTGCCTGCCTCCCCACAGTTCCCGCCCGCAGACGGCCTGGACCGCAGGTACTCCCACAGCCTCTACCATGACACTGGAACGAACTACGACCCCAGCGTCCAGGACCCCTACGCGTCCAGCCAGAGCCAGCAGCCCATGGGCCAGGGGGTCCCCATGGCAGACAACCTGCACCTCAGCCCAGGGACTCCTGTGGCCGCCGGCACCGGGTACGGGAACGAGCCGTGGGCCGGGCAGCACCCTCCGTTCCAGGACCTTCCGGCCGAGCCCTACCTGCCTCCTCGCAGCGTGGAGCCGCAGCCGCCTTTCCGGCCCTTAGACCCCCATGGGGTCCCCCGGCCCGAGCCTTACCTGCCCATCCGGAACGCCGAGCCCGCCCAGCTCATTCCAGAAAGCCAAGGCGCCAACCAAGCCCGGGTGAGCGTGGGCAGCATCTACAGACCCCATGAGAACGGGGGGGGGGGGTGGGGGTCGGGCGGGGGGGGGGGGGGGGGGGCGAGCAGTGCCTCGCGGGGTGGCTCTCGGGCGTGGGGCCAGGAGGGCGGTGAGTCGGAAGGGAGCCCCCGGCCCCAGCGGGGGCACCCTGCAAGCTGCCCTGGACCAAGGCATGCGCTCAGCTCAGCGCGGAGCTTGCCCAGAATGCTTGGCTGCGCTGCAGCAGCAGAGACCCCTGCCAGGCTTCTGGTGCGTTCAGGCCTCACGCCGTCTTTGCTGCGGAGGCGGCGGTCCCAGCAGCCTCGCTTCAGCGGCCCTGGCCCGCGGAGCCCATGGGGTCTTCCCTCTGGGGTGGGGGGGCCCGAAAATGTGCGGACCCGCAGAACCGGAGGCATGGGGCCTCGGGCGGTGGCACAGGGACTGCCTGGCCGGCAGGAGCCCCCCGGGCATCCCCCAGGATCCCGCCCGGATTCACCCGCCTTGGGTGGCCTTGAAGGGGGGTGACACAGGCGCAGCGGAGGCGAGTCCCGGTGGCGCTAGGCTCGCTCCCATGTCCCAGGCAGGGTGGCTCAGCACACCGCTCGGTGCGCCAGCCGCGGGGGGAGCCACCGGAGCTGCCACAGCATTCGTGCCCCGCTTGCGAGGGGCTGCAGGTGGCCGTCGGCCCTGCCCAGGGCTCAGCCATGGTTTGCCAGTTCAGCGGCCCCCGCGAGCGACGGTGAGCATGGCACGGTGTGAGCAGGCTGCTGGGCTCGGGGGACCGCGGGTCTCCTCTTCGGCTCTTGCAGGACATCCGCAGCCATCTGGCGGCTTTACAGGGGCTTGGGCCAATTCAGAGGAAAGGCTGCGATCCGAGGCCGCGAGTCCTGAGGGCTTCATGCTACCTGCAGTCTCAGAGGCAGAGCGCCTGGCTGCCAGAGATGCTGCCAAGTATGCGCGGGGTGGTCCTCGTAGGGTTTCCCCAGACCTCTGGCCGGTCTTGTGGTAACAGGAGGTTGGAGCAAAGAGAAATGGCTGCTCTTATGTCTATTGCCTGCTGGGTGTAACCTGTTCCGCGCAGGCCGTGGCGCCGCCTTCCCATTGAGCAGAGCCCATGTGCCACAACATGTGCGAAAATGATTCCAGGCGCTCGCTCTGCACTGCAGTTGGGCCGCGGGTGGAAAGCTAACGGGCCATCCATGCGGTGGACCAGCTCAGGCATGCCCATCCCAGCCTATCGAGCCATGGTCATTCGATCAGGAACGAGCCCGCGGAGTCCGTCCTTCCCCCTGCCCCTCCTGCCTCCTGTTACCACTGGTTCCACATGGCGTGACAAGCAGCCGACAACGGGAAGCCACGGTTGCTTCCCCGCTTGGCCAGACCCAGTCAGGCTGCACGGCCATCCGCTCTTAGTCCAGCTGCCAGCCGTGACTCGTTGTGCCACCTGAACAGGGAGAACACGTTCCTCTTCGCGAGACCTGATCCTGGCCTGACGGCTGGTCTTGTACAGGGCTCTTCCACCATGGTTTTGCCCCTGGTTTGGGGCACCGTGGGAGGTTGTGGTTTGAGAAACTAAGACGATGCCGTGCCATCGGAGAGTGTGGAGGAGGAGGAGGCCTGCTGGCACTCAGGAATCCAGGGGTGCCAGACCTTAGACCCCTTGGGCCACATCCAGCTCTCTGGGGCTCTCCAGATGGCACGGTCCGTCCACTTCCCCCGCTGCCCCCGCCCTCTTCCCTCTGGCCACCAATTGTTGGAACACCCCCTCAAGTGGGACAGCTGCATGCAGACTACAAGGAGGGCCAGCCATCCTGCAATAATCCATGGGCTGGTGGACCACCGTGGCTACTTGGCCGTGAGCGAACTCCTTTCGAAGGAGCCTAAGGCAACTGTTTCCGGGGCCAGAATCGCACTGGTGGGGCATGAGCTGGCCACCCAGGAGCTGCCCGCTCTCTTCCTCTTCTCAAAGGCCCATGCCTCCCCATTACATAGCGCGATGCTCACACACCACCTCTTGGAACTGTGGGAAATCCCAGCGGTCCAGGCGGACGCCAAGCTCCAAGTTGGTTCTTGCGATTAGGCCCGTCCTCTGAGCCCCGTCCTTCTTCCATCCAAGCCGTCACGAACAAAGGGCCAATTTTATGAGCTTGACCTCGTGTCCTTTTGGCCTGGAAGGAAGACCTCTGGAAGCAGAAGGCTGCTATGAGCATGCATATTTTTGTCGGCTCAAGCAGACACGCATCAGGCTTTCTGAATTTTTTCCTTAAATCTCTGGCTCCTTTTTGCTCTGCTGGTGCCGCCCGCCCTCTCCCCATCCCATTTCAGTGCACCCCAGTTGGGGAAGATGCAGAATTTCTTACAAACCAAGCTCTGGAGAGAATCCAGCCAGTCCTCAGAATTCAAATTGGGGTATGAAATCGGGCCCTGCCTGTCCTGAGTGAGTCGCATTTCACTGTTCCGGAACTGAGCATTTTCTGGCGATTGCAAAGACAGGATGTCAGAGAAAACTGTAACAGGTCCGGATAAGTCCAGTTTTCTGTGAATTTGGCCTGCAGATCCATCGGCAAACTGGCTTTTTCCAGGGCACGCAGATTCCACGGCATCATGGACCATTTTTTCCACTTCAGGGGGAAATTTGTGCTGATGTAGGGTTTGCACACACAAACTCATCTGCCGCAGGTAATACAGATTCATGCTAATAAATTCACACGAAGCAGGGCAGACGTGCCAACATCCCTTAGCACAAGTAGAATGAAAGTCTGCTTTAAAAAACCCAGTTCCATCAATGGGCAGATGAAGGAATAAAACATAAACAGAACAGATTTTGCAAAATCTGTACATCTGCAGTCCCCTATTGCCAGGAACAATCCTTCTTTTGCTATCCAGCCATTTCCTCGAGAAACCACTGTCTGTATTTTTTCCCTAGTCCCGGTTTTAAAGGGGGAAAAAATCCAAGGATTGGCAACTGCAGGCCAATTAAATACACAGTGGTCCAGAATAGCAAGCCAGGAGTCTAATGCCTCATAGCACAGGGGACGAGAGGAAACGACCCGAGAGAGCAGCAGGTGATGGGGCCGAAGCAAACACACCTGGCTGCAGGGTCTGATTTACCTGGCTGCATTGCTGGAGGTGCTCTCAGTCCTGTGAGTCGCTGAGGATCGGCTGGCTGGGGCAACAGTCTTTGAAATGAGAACTGGGAAGGTGTAGGCTGGTTTCTATTTTCACCTCTAAACTGTTTGGATGGTATAATCCTGGCTCGGTCGCCCGTCCAGAACTTTGTTCTTCCTTCCTTGGCAACAAAAAGACATTCCTCCAGTTCAGGCCTCTGAGAAGAAACAAATCAGTCTCTCCCGTTTGGGGTTTTTATTTTATTGTGTTTACTGTTGAAAAAAGGAGCAAGCGAATTAGCCAGCGATGGAACATTTGGGGCAGCAAAAATCCTTTTCGAAAGTCGACCTTCTGAATCAGAAGTGGCCCACACGGCACGCAGATGTCCCAGGCAGTCTGCAAGGGCGTTTTCGTGGCCTTGGCCAATTTCGTGGCACCAAATCTACTGCCCCAGCAGCAGGCAAATAAAGGGAAAAGGCCATTTTGCAAGGAAACTAGGTGTGCGATGGACACACGCCTCGTCTGCATGCAGGATTGTATTCCCAGAAGTCTCCAGTGACAAATAACGTGTGCTCCCCCCACACCAGCACCACCACACGCCTGGTCTGTTTTCTCCTTACACAAGTCGGAAAAGGCATTTGCTCACGTTTTCATGCATAATCTTTCCCTCCCCATGCTTTTTCTCTGAAGAAAAGGGAATGCTCCTTAAAAACAGAAGCAACACTTGAGGATGTCGATTTCATTAAAAAAAGATGAGCGGCAAATGACAAGCACACCATAAATCGCTCGTGAGAAAAGCCCCAACTCAAGGTTGCTGTTTGCTTGTCTGTCGAGCATTTTGCATCCACTGCAAGAGAATGAAAAGCGCTCTTTGATGCAGGCCAGTGTTGACTCGTCTGATTAGATGCAGACCTGAGATCTGCATTGTAGGAAGGCCGTTTAAGAGGGAAGTGCCTTCTCTGACCTGGAGGAAGAGAGAGGCTACTTCGTGCGTTGCCAAGCACCTCGTATTTGTCGAGAGGATCATTGAAGGACAGACAGAGCTTCATTTGAGGTCAGAATTCTCTGAGGACGGGACTGCTTGGGTGGATTCCCCCCCTCCCCAGGGCTTCCTGATCTGCTTGAAGAAAGACCAGTCCTGCTAGTATACGTGCGATCCGGTTCAGGCAACATGAAGCACGGGGTGTGTGGGCTGTCCTTGCAAGGTTGGCTGTGGCCAACTGTTGGCCCAAGTCCGGCCAAGCTAGCAGGCCACACTTCACAACCCAACAACAAACCATGGGTTAACTTCGCAGGTTGTGTGTGGCAACAAGCCATGACTTAATAGGGCAGGTAGGTCTGGATGACATGATAATAATGCTAACGATTATTATTATTTCTTTCCTTTCTATCCTGCCCTACAGCCAAAGCTCTCTGGGGAGTTTACAGTAACCCATAAAACATATAATAAACATCATAAAAGCATCAAATATTAGGAAGCTGAAAACAGCTAAGAAAGACCATAACGAAGTCCTGGTTGAACAATAACCCATAGTTCAGCAACAGCCCAGGTCACAGAACCACAGAAGAGTGGAGTTGGAAGAGGCCAGAAGGCCTCCAGGTCCAGCCCCCTGCTCGGTTCAGGAGACTGAGCTAAGCCACCCCGATTCTCGAGTGTGGTCTGAACCCAGGCACTGAGTGGGGCAGGGAATCACGACCATTTCCTGGTCCCAGACCCAATTTCCCCATATCCAGTGACAGCTTTCCACAGAGAATGCAAGGACCTGAGGGCCTGATTAATTTGGGGCTGGGATGGGACTGGATGGCCACCATCTTGATTCCGCAAGCCATGTGGAACTGTCATCGGCAAGGTGCTCTTTTCACCCTGAACACATTCCGGCGATCATGCCAAAAGCGCCCCATGACAATATTTCAGTTCTCACTGATGCTCTGAAAGGTTTCCTTTCTGCTCTGTTTGTATATCCCAGATTGTTTCCCTCCGTTCTGTTTCTTGATCTGCCCACTGAGGAGCTGAGCTCCTGCAAAGAGTTCCAGGTTGATCAAGCAGGATCTGAGCTTATCTTGCTTCTCTAAATCACGGGGAAGCCAAATCACAAGCTGTCCAGAGACTAGCAAGGTATTGGATGGGGTAAACATACCCAAATAAATGAGTCAATAAATAAGTTTCCTTCCCTGCACACAAAAATGTGGGAGGGTAGAAGGAACTGATCAGAGCAAAACTTTGGGGCCGGGGAACAGTGTCTCCCTCACGCCACGCCTGACCCCTTAACCAAGAGAGGCGTCCTGCCTGCAGCCAACTGCTCCTCCTCCACTGCCTCCACATGTCCCTGATTAGATTTATTTTCATTTTATTTCTGTATATGTACAATGGTCACTTAGCAACAGCTCGATGTGGGATTATTTGTCTTGGATTCCCACCAGGGTTTTGATTCATTGCGTGGGTGTTGGGGGTGATCTCCCCCATCCCACCTCGTCCACTCTGTTTGCAAGTGTTTAATCCCTGGGCACCGGGAGGTGAGCTAAGCCGAGCTCCGGACAGCGCTCTCCTTCCCCTGAGCGCTGACCTCGCCTGCTCATTTCTGCAAGGGTTTCACCCAGATCTTGACCCTGGGTGGCCTGCCCTGAAAGATACCTTGACAGTTTTGATGGAAGGGAGGCAGGGATGGGGGCCGGAATCAGCCTCTCTTGGCTGCTTTTCCATCTGAGTAATTCCTGTCTGGATTATCGGAAATTCCCTGTGTAGATTCAGTTACTTAAATCCTTCTTTAATAAACATGTTTGCATAGCTTGCCTAGCCCAGAAGAATTCTCCACTCCACTTAAGCAGGAGCTGGGTGTAACGTCCCCAGATGTTCCCAGACTGCAGAGGAAACGGACAATGCCCAAAGCTCGTTTCTCTCAGAGGTGGGGGCCCCTTCCCACTCACAGCCGTGCCTGCTCTGGAGCATCAGTAGGAAGGAGACGGCTTTTTAATGGATCGGACAGCTAGTCTGCCCAGTTCAGTACTATCACCACTGACCGAGCTCAGGCAACACAATAACCCACAATCAAAGGTGGTTGTTGAGATGTGGGTTATCTTGTCCAAAAAACAAGCCATGGTGAACAACCTTCAGTACCCAGCCCAGCAGCTCGTCATAGCTTCTCTTCATGGGTTGTTTGGGGTTAACAACACGTGACTCGTTAGAGCAAGACAACAGACAGCACAAAAGCCACCTTTAGGGGCTGTTGTGGAAGAATAGGTCATTGTGTTGTCTGAACCCAGCTGAGATAAGAAACCACAGTTCACAGCCCAGCAACTAACTATGGATTCTCTTCGTGAGCTCTTCGTGGGCTAGCTGGCCCCATGTTTCAACAGCGTCAAGTTCAGTAGCAACCTTCCAGTGGTGCCTGATCCCAGTCTCTGATTGGGTGTTGCTCCCCGGGGTTTATGGAAACGCAGGACGGCAGCGTTGGAAGGGGCCACTAAGGCTGTTGGTCCAACCCTGCTCAATGCAGGACTCCAAGTTTAAGCAAGTTTCAGCTAAGAGTCTTTTCTAGCCCACTCTGGACCTGCCAGGTATTGCACCTGGAACCTCTTGCATACAGAACAGGTGCCCGGCCACCAAGCCCCAACCCCTCCAGTCAGTACCTTGAGCTTCTTTGGGTCCCCTTCTGCTTAGGCTCCTCTCGTGTCTGGCTGCTGGACAGACGGACCTGGCAACACGCTGCTTAATATTCTAATCAAGCCATCTTCTGTGTGCCGGTCGTGGAACCATTATCGGTTATCCACAGGCAGGAGGTACCAGCAGGCAGGGAAAGAACCCCCAAGATCTGCGGACACACAAAAGAGGGGTAAACTTTGCTAAAGAGGGAACAAAACAGCCCCAGGTGGCCTGAGCAAGTCAGGTGGCCACAAAACATCGGTAAAGACATGCCCATGCAAGGGGACCTTGGTACCCACGGGCACCGTGTTGGAGAACCCAGGGCCTGGGACATCCTCCCATCTCCCAGATGTGCTCCTGCTGATGGGAGCTGAACTGCAAAACATCTGGAGGGCACTCGGTTGGAGAAGACTGATGCAGAAGACGAATCTTTCCCCCCAACAGCACCCTTGCAATGTCCCTTAGTCATTAAACAGGCTTCCCCTACGCCCTTGCACAAAGAGGTGGGGAAGACAAGCTCTCAGGCAGTGCTACTTTTGCTAAGGTAAGCGATGGAACAAGTGATTCCCCCCCCCCCCCGGCGACCCCCCCCCCCCCCCATCACCCTCCCTTGACTGTGCGTAATGTGAGAATCCTCAGCGGATTACATCAGCAGGCATGACCAAGCAGAGAGGCAGGAAATGAGAGCCGAAGCAGTGACGTGAGTCCCCTGGGGACGGCAGCCCGAGAAACAAGAAGGCATTGTTCCTTTTCGGCCTTGGAAAAACATACCCCAGGTCAATGGGCTCCCGCTGAAATCCGGGAAGAGATGGCAGGATTTTATGGATCAGAATTAGACTAACTTCAGCCTCGTTCAGCTTAAATTCTTTTAAAATTAGGAACCTTTTTGGCCGGTTGAGAAGTTTAAAATGTATGTGGAAAGAGAGTGTGTAGCCTTTGTTTCTCCTCCATTCAGGCATCCGTTCCATGTAATCCGGGTTAAACAGCTCTGTGTCCTCCAAAAGGAGGATACGGAAGAGCGCGCCTGTGTCCAGGCCAGCTTTTCTCTGGGTCACATAACTCCAGTACTGGGCTTGGTCCATCCCATTTCCATGGCAGTGTGAGCATTTTTTTTTTTTTACAAAAGAAGAAAAGGCTTGCACTTCTCCTCTTTTGTATGTGGCTTTTCCTAATATATGCATTTTTGCAAGCAATGTTCTTAACAGTACATTCAATCTTACATGCATTTTTGTGTAAACACTCCCCGAAGAGATGCGTTTTTGTTCATCCTTTTTATAAATTTGTGAACTCCATTGCAAAATTTGGAGGTTTGAGAATTTCAAAAGAAATTCTGGTTCACACGTAAGTTTGAAAGAGCAAAATTAGGTAAGCAGAGCAAAATTAGTTAAACATATTCAGATGTAGAAGGAACAACGTTTCTCCCCCACAGATGCTCTGGTGCACCTTTGTAATTTGGAAAAAACAGGCAAATTGAAACTTTCATCCTCAGTTTTAATAGTTAAGGGCAGAACATCAGTATGACTGCGGGTACTAAACATTTCTTCAGTTAATATGCCCGGTCAGTTCAGTTTCGTTTTTGTTGTTTCATGCCCAAAAGTATCGCATTTTTATCAGTGTTTGTGTAAATGGGGACCAGCCAAACTGGAAGACTTTTCACTCATTCGTAAGTTAAAAGCAAACAGCACAATAATCAAGGTAGGAGTCTGTGTGCTTACGTTTCTGTGATTCATTAAGTTTGATTTAAAATTAGGTTAATATTAATATTATGTTTGTGTGCATATGTACAATATAAAAATATGAGGATTCAGTCTTTTAAAGTGAAGGACAGATGAGAGTTTGAATTGATTGGTAGCTGATGGAAAGCCATTATAGCGAGAGAAATCATCATGGGTGCCCTGGACAGAAAGCATGGCTAAATGGAAATACTGATTTTATCAACTCCAGAAGAAAGCCCACCTGGCCTTGGATGGCAAATGGTTTCTACTTGCCATTATCCAAAAGCTCAGGTCAGACTTAGGCAGGCAGGTTCTTGAACTAAAAATCAACACCTCACGTCAAGGTCCTCCCACTTTGCGCTTTTACGAAGAGAACAGACCCCCTGGGCCATTTCCAGGCAGCGCTTCCCAGCTGGTCTGCAGTGGCTGAACCGGCACCCTGCCATCAGAGAGTCCCCACTAACGCGGCCGTCTCTCCCCAGGCCTCCCGGACCTCGTGCCTGATCCAAACTACGTCCAGGCTTCCACGTACGTCCAAAGGGCTCACCTCTACTCCCTCCGTTGCGCCGCAGAGGAAAAGTGTCTCGCAAGGTAAAGCTCTCCCTCCAAGGTCCTGCCCAAAGCGACTTCATAGAATCCGAGAAGAGTAGAGCTGGAAGGGGGACGAAAGCCATCAGGACCAACCCCCCGCTGTTGCAGGACACCAAGGCACACCCTCCCCGTCAGAAGGCTGCCCAGTTCCCACCCTCTTCCCTTCAAGCATCTGCAAAGCCTTGGACGAGACACCCCGGCGGGTCTCTCCTCCAGCGGGCCTGCCTCCTCGGCGCCACGGACACCAGCTGCTGAGGGCCTTTGTCCTCTTCCTCGCCCTGGCTACTTCTTGCTTGTTGGCAGGCAAGGAGCCAGGAGGCTGTGGCCAGGGCCAAAGCTGCTTCATTGCCGGGGCAGGGCAGGGCAGGGCAGGGGAGCCAGCGGATTGCCAGGGTGAGGAGGGCGAGCCATCACTCGCTGTCGGGCCACTGCTGCTTGGCAGGCGCCTGCGCATGCTTAAACGTGAGATCGGCTCTAGCCACACAGCTCCAGGGCCATGCGCCACACCCTGTCCAGCAATGCGCCTGTTGTTCGTCCACATGTGCTGGCGCCTGGCTCCAACCGCGACTCCAAGGCACGGCCCCAGAGGGTCGCTGGAAGAGTGGAAACAGCGCAGGCGATGTCTCGATGAAAGGGGTAGCCATACACCCAGCAGTGCTGTCTGCACATATATGAGTTTGTACATACATGTGTGGCCCCCCCACACACACACACACGACTGAAGATGCTTGCCCCCGGTTTTCACATCAAGAATCCAAGTCTTGGTTTCATCCAAAGCCAACTCTCCAACATTCGTGGTTATGGAGAAACCTTTGGAAACATATTCCGCTTCCCCCTTTCCTTCCCTTTCTCCTCTGCTACCCCTTCCTTGCCAAAAAGAAAGAGAATAATAATAATAATTGTTGTTGTTGTTGTTATTCCACCAGTCACATGTTATTTTAAATCTAGAAGCAGGGACAAAGGCCCACAAAGCAATCAGGAAGAAATGCTTCTTCAGGAGAAATTCTCACTGACACTTCACATGCAGCAACTGTGCACAGAATTGGAGCCAGACAGCGGGAAGCAGAATTCATGTGCCTGTGCCCTTTGGCGCACATCACTCCTGCTACCAGCAACTCGAGAGCCAGGCACAACGGGGCCAACCTGTGACCGCCGCAAAACAAGCTGCAACAGCAGCCTGTTTCACGGCGGGAGCAGATCTGGCATTTTTCAGAAGCGCAAAACAAGAATCCTTTAAAGAAACAACCCAGGAGGTGGGTGGGGGGACAAAAGCCACGGGATCCGCACTCTGAAAATCGGTCTCCTTGCTGGGATACGGAGTCCTTTCACACTGTGCCCATCTACCCTCCAGCAGCCCCCCTATGCCCCACCCTGTTTTAGCCCCGTACAGCAGGGGTCTTTAGGACTGGCCTGAAGCGCGGTGGTAGCTCAGGATGGCGCAGAAAGCAAACGAGCTCTGACTTCTAGACATTCGACGGGCAGATTCAGCAGCAGAGTTGCAGGCTGTTTCACACAAGTTTGGTCACAGAAAGATGGCGAGGAGGAGTATGAAGTGGGAACGAGAAAGGCATCTTTCCCCCACGGGCAAAAGTGAGAAGGTGCACCCTGGGGGGTTCACCCCTGTTGGAGGAAGGCACACACCTTCCGAAGCACAAATGTGCACCGGAACACAAGTTCGTGACACGGGAAACCAGTGGCCGGCACGGGTGGGACGAGAGGCGCCCTTGCAACCCACGCCCCCCACGCAGGGCACAGCTGGCAGCTCCCCACCGAGCCCAGGCACCCACTGCCGTTTGGGGTCAGCCGCCCTAGGCGAGACGGCACAAAACGGGTCCATCTCTTTTTTTAATTGCCCTTTGTCCCGACAAGGAACCCCTGGGGGAACGCAGGACCTTCCTCTTTCCATTGGATTCTCACAACAGGTCAGGTCAAGAGCCCGCAACCCGTCCAAAACCACCCGGGGGGCCTCCTGGCTGAGTGGGGACCAGAGCCCAGGTCTCCGGTGGCTCGTCCCAGCACACTACCTACTAGGCCACACTGCCTCCCTGAACAAATTGGCGTATGACGCGTTCCCTGCCCTGGGCCCAAGCATGGTCTCCTGCCAGTCCAAGTGCAGCTGAAAGGCACGCAGCCCCAGGGTCGGTCCCCTTTACAGAAATCAAGTTTCCGGTCCTCACTCTTTGCCTCTGCCTCCCCACAGCACTGCCTACACCGCCGAAGCCACAGACTACGACGTGCGGGTCCTGCTGCGCTTCCCGCAGCGGGTGAAGAACCAGGGCACGGCCGACTTCCTGCCCAACCGGGCTCGCCACACCTGGGAGTGGCACAGCTGCCACCAGTGAGTCGGGGGGTGCTGCAGCCGCCTCTGGGGGGCAGAGATGGGGCTGGGAAAGGGCGGGGAGCGGCTGGGGCTCCACGCACCCCCCCAGGAGAGCCGCTTGGGGCTATGGGGGGCGCTCACTGCTCCTCATGCACCTCCAGCAGGGCAGCACCTTCCCCGGCATGGCTCACGCGTGTGGAGACGCCAGGCGTGTGACGCGCAAACTCAGAAAGCAGCTCTTGGGGTGGAATTCGCCATTTCGAGACACCAAGCAGTCCCGATGCTGCTCTTTTGCTTCTGTGCTCGCTCCTTGCCCCTGCCGCCTTCCCTTCCCCTTGTGCAAATGCATGTTCTCTGTTGCTTTCCAGCCCCTCCCAGACACCCCCACCCCAAAATAACGGCGGCTTCTAAACCGGGCTCGAGGGAGATCTCCCGAGCCCCGGCACACGCGTGGGCTAGCTTATTTTGCTGGCGGCAGTCAGGCAGGAGTCCACGTTCAATTCCCCACAATGCCCTGCTGGGACAGCAGGCCAGAGGCATTGTGGGAGGCGGAACATGGCGGCTCTTCTACCTAGTTGCCTCTGGAGGGGCAGCCGGGAGGGGCCTGGGTGCTGCCAGCTGCCCAGGGGAAGGACGCGGGAGACGGTGCTGGAGCCTCGGCGAGGGCGCTGGCACTGGGCCCCCTCTTCCACACCCGCAGGCATTACCACAGCATGGACGAATTCAGCCACTACGACCTGCTCGACGCGGCCACGGGCAAGAAGGTGGCAGAGGGACACAAGGCGAGCTTCTGCCTGGAGGACACCACCTGCGACTTCGGGAACCTGAAGCGCTACGCCTGCACGTCGCACACACAGGTGAAGCTGCGCGGGGGCGGACACCATGCCCTCTGCCCATTGCTGGGCTTGCGCAAATGGGCGGTGGAACTTGCTTGAGGAAAAGTTCTTAAGCTGCACTGGAGCCACAGATTTCCCGGTTCCCTCTGAACAAGCCTGGCAGGAGCTCGGGGGAAAGGAGACCGAATGTTCCCACATCCGCCCCCGTGGGCGTGCAAGGCCCTTTGCGATGGGTTTGCCTGGAATGGGCGGACTGAGCTCCACCTGCTTCAGGGAATCCTCACGGTGGAGACGGAAGCAGCCTGTGGGTAGAGATCGGCCCGAGGTTGGGCTCCTGCTGGCTGTGGCTGCGGGGAAGTTGCTTTCTCATGTCGCAAGGAGGGTCTGCAAGCCACCCTTTCCCACCACACCGGGAGGCAAAGAACGGGGCTGCGCAGCCCCACAGTCGGTCTGCCGGCATCGCATCCTGCCCACGTTGGACTCAGCCCACCGCCGCAATGGCCCTTTTGAACGAGGGAAAGGAGGATGAGTCCCGCCGGCAGGCGAACCGGCTGCGGAGCTCAGAAAGCCGCAGAACGGCTGAGCTGGATTGGGCCAAGAGGGCCGGGAGGTCCTGTTCAACGCTGGCCTCCTAAAGGGGGGCCTCGGGGGGGCTTTCCCCAGCCCTGCTGCCAAGGACCCTTCTCCTGGCTGACCTTAGTCAGTGGCCATTCATCAGAGTAGGAATTTAGGACCCCACTCAACAGAAGGGGCAGGCGCAACCCCCATTGCGACGGGGTGACCTTCGACTCGCTGATGCAAGGGAAGGACTATTGGCAGAGAACCCACCCTATCGGGCCTAGAATGCCCGTTTGGCTTTGAATTAAACCTGGGATTTTCAGCACCTGCTCATAACCAGGAACTGGGGGTGCATGTTCTTCATTTCAGGGGCTCAGTCCTGGATGCTACGACACATACAACGCTGACATCGATTGCCAGTGGATCGATATCACAGATGTGCAGCCCGGGAACTATATCTTAAAGGCAAGTTGTCTTTCCTCCAAAGTTCTACATGCCCCAGGATCGAAATGATCTGAGCATCAGCAAGAAAGCAAAAGCTCCCACTTATATCTTTTCCTGCAGGTTCCTACCTGTGCCAGAAATGTTCAGATCGTTTGCAAGGACTAGGATATTTTCCATTTTTTTGTTGGCATATGACATCGAAACTCTGAGCAAGTCAGAAGGGCTCTCCGGGGCAATCTAGTCTGACCCCTGGCTCCAGCCAGCTCCACTCATGACATGCCCACCATGTTTCACAGCCAAAGCATACATCTCCAAATGCATCCTTTGTGAGGAGGGAGAATGTGGCAAATGAGAGAAATTCAGTTTATGGACGGCTGTATATGGCGGGGATGGGGAATAATTCAACCAGCCCTTGGCCAGATTCCATTTTGGAAAAGCATTCAGGGTCTGCATTCCTGTGCTGAGCAACATCAAAGGAGGCAGAAACACCCCCCCCCCCCGCGCGCAAAAAAAACCAAAACAGGATGGTTTAGCCAAAAGCATTATTCAAGTATTTCTCCCTCTTAAAATGGGGGAGGAGGGAAACTACAGAAGAGCAAAGCAATCATCAAATGGTTTGTATCTGGGTAAAATGCTGGTGGGTTGGGGTTAGGACCACACGGAGCTGCAGAGGGCCGGATTCGGCCCCTGGGCCACAGGTTCCCCACCCCTGGTACACAAGACTGACCCAAATATTTTGCTGCCGGGTGCCACGCAGGACACGTCTCCTTCCCACTCCACCGCAGCAGGTGCTTGGGCTGGGAGCTGATTCTTGCTCCAGCACTCGGGTGGGACAGTCTTCCAACACAGCAGAGAAGAGCAGGCAAGGCTGGGGGCCAGGGCAGGCCACGTAGAGGGGAAACGGCCAAGGGGGCACAACCCCTTCCCCGGACCCACACCCGGCACGCACTGCCTTGCAAACATTCTCCCTGTGGCTCCTGCCTGAGGGAAGCAGCAGCGGTCCAGCTGACATGTTCTTTCTCTCTCTCACCTGCTCACGCAGGTCCAGGTGAACCCCAAGTATATCGTGATGGAGTCTGACTTCACCAACAACGTAGTGAGATGCAACGTCCATTACACTGGGCGCTATGTCGCCACGACGAACTGCAAAATCTCCCAGTAAGTATTCTTGGCCCGGGAGCCTCCTGCGTGTTCCTAGGGAGTGCGCAGACGACGTCCGGCTTGGCTGCGAAGACCAGCACCCACCCGGCGCATGCCTGCTCTTCACGGGCATGCGTCCCGCGTCCTGCCTAGCGCCACTCCCGCGGCTCATTCCCAAACCGGCCGGAACATGCAAAGGGGGTGCCAAAAGCAGAGGTGGCACATGCGTCCGCCATCGTCTCTGGGCCCCGCGGGTGGCAGCCGCACCTCACTGCGGCTGAAGCGGCTCGCAGGGCGAGGCAGCCCGGGCGAGCGGAGGGAGGCGCGCACCGGGCCGCTGCAGCACCAGTGGCCGCGCAGGGGAGGGCTGAGGCCGCCACCGCCGCCCTGCTGCAGGGGTTTCCCAGAGATGCCTGGGCAGCCACCGCGGTGACCAGCCGGTGGGCAGGGTGGATATTTGGTTTGGCCCAGCGTGGCTGTCCGATCTTCCCCTGGAGCATCGCCTCCTGCCCAAGCCCTGGAAGCACAGGCGAGGCGGGGGCTTCCAGGCCGGGGTCCCAGTCTGCCCCCAGGAGCCCCCCGGCACCGAACGGCAAGCGCTGGGCTCTCCTTTGTGAGCTGCCCCGCCCAAGGCCATTTTCGGGGGCATTTCAGCTCCCCAAAAGCTGCAACGTGAAACATTGTTCCTACGTGGCAAGTCCATGGAGGAGCAGACTTCCATGAATCTGATGATCTGCTCAGGGTGCAGATTCAGATAAAGGGATTTTTTTTTAATTATTTTCTTTTTGGCTTGCCATTTTTGGGAGAAGAAACGGGTGGGCTGCCTTTGCCTCCTGTGACAGTTGAATATTCATTCCCAAATGAACATACGCAGACATGAATCGGCACAGGTGAACGGGGTCCTAGAGGCTGAGTTTGCATGCCTAGAGTCCCGTCCCCCCCCCCCCCGCACACAGGCAAGTGTCCCATGCGGGTGCCCAGAAGAAGCAGAGCAGAGGGAGGTAGGGGCTGAGATCCCCCTCGCAGCCACACGCTGCAGCTTTGATCTTTGCCACCCCCCACCTCCTCCCAAGCCCGGTCTTTCCGCCTGTTTTGCTTCCCGGGGCTGCCCAGAGCACGTCTTTTTCATGCCTCTTCTAACCACATGCGACGGGCAGCCAGGATAAACAGGGCGGCTTCCCAGAAATGCGCCGTGATGCTTGTTGATCTTGACAGAGGAACTGAGAGGGGAGGGAGGGAGGGGAGGGGCATCTCCACCCCTACAATTTATGGAGGTGGATCACAGCCCTTCTGCGAAGTAGCAGAAAAATCATTAAAGGCGCAACTCTAAGCCTCGACGGGGAAGAGGCCTACAACTCCCATAGGCCCCAGCCAGCTGGGATGTGGAGTTCTTTTTCTGCATGGGTGTGTGAGGGATCAGGAAACAGGAACTTGCACACTCACGCACACCGCAAGATGCTCCAAAGTCCATTTCAAATTCCCCCTCACGTCCGTGGCTTCTCGTCCTTTCCCATGAGCAAGAACGGTGCCTCTTTCAACTGGGGGAAGGATGCTTTTCCGAGGCCATTTTCCAACAGGGAGCCTTCTCCTCTTGTCGCCAAACCTGCAAAACGGCACTCCTAAAGGAAGACAAGTGTGCGTGTAAACATGCACGGTTGTCAGAAGACAGTCTTCTTTCCCATATCACAAGCTTGGATTGTGCGAGTGGTTTTCGGGGAAACGTATTTGGATGTGGGCTTGCAAACAGGGTGAGTTCTGATACGGGCACCTGAACTCTCGAGTGGGCTCCAGGTCCAGGCGGCCCTTGGGCAAAGCACCCCAAAAGCACCCCCCGCCCCCGAGAGAGAGAGCCTTCTCCTCACCCTCGGCACCACCCCTCGGCATCCCCAGCAGGGAGCACATGGGCCGGGCAACCCCTGTCCTGCTCACCTGGGCCTGGGTGCGAGGCAGCTGAGCAAGCAGGGGGCAGGGATGAAGAGGAGGATGAGACCTGATGGGGTCTTGCCACTGGACCACTGCTGGAATGCGGAGCCTTGACACATGCCCAACCAAGCCTACTTCTGATGGCCACCCTAGCAAAAAGACCGGAAAGATGCTGCTGCGAACAGCACATCCCCCAACTCTGAAAAGCATTTGAGAACTCCTCCTACTTAAACAGAATTGTAGTGAAGGCAGAATGCCGAATTCTGTAGGGTAAGCGTGCAATAATAACGGAATTGCACAAAAGAAACCAACTTGTCTCCAGTAGACAAAGCCACTCACCCTTAAACTTCTCTCCCTTTTGTTCCCTTGCACAGGTCCTGATCCCCACCCGGTTGGTAGAAGCCTCCCCATTTCTTTTATCCTGACCCCCTCCCCCCACCCCCCATCCAAATGTCTCTCAGACTGGTAGCATGTGAAGAGGAAGAGGTGTGCAAGCATCCGGCAACCCACATGAGACCGGGAAAACATTCCATGGCTTTGTTTGGGGAACACAAGTTAAATGAGCGTTGCCACTTTAAATACTTTTATAAATACTTTGTTTTTCATCTCTGTCTCCTTCAGAGCAAAGTTTGTCGATCATTTGGGTGGTCTGCAGGGTGGGTGGAGGCTGTGCAGTCAGGAGCGATCCGACCGCAGGGTTCTGGCGCTCGGGGCTGCCAGCCGCTCCACGAGCCACCAGCAGGAACCAAAAGGGTGAGAGGAGGGCAGGACGGCTCGCCGCAGTGGCCCCACGGGAAATACGGACCGGCTCCTGAGCCTACCTGGCCGGTGCACCCTTCAGAGGACAGGGAGGGGCCTGGAGAGAGCCTCGAACATTTGGAGAGAGCTTCGAACGTTGCGCAGCCCACCCTCAGCCCGCCCTCTGTCCTGCAGCAGTGGGCCGGCCGATCGAAGGGTTCCTCTGCCTGGATGTGCAGGATCGCAGCGCGAGGCTGCAGTGAAGTCAGTGGGGACCAACTTCTAGGGGTGCGCACACAGGTCGGACCTGCAACGCTCGCCGGAGGAGCTGGCTCAGCACTTCCACGGGAGCGACTGCCTCTGCCACACAATCGGCCCATTAAGCGGCAGACCCGGCGTGGCCCTGCTCGTGGGAACGCGGCTGCTCCAGAGACCTGGCAGTGGTCCTCAGAAATAACGAGCAGCCACGTTCCCACGCCACCGAGCCTGGGGAAAGCAGGGCAGGGCAGGGACGGAAAGGAATGAGCAGGCTGTGGCAGCCAGCTCCACGCTCCGCGCATGAGTTAACCCTTGTGTGGGGACCCAGGAGGGCAGCCGGCTGCACACCACCCAGACACGTCCGTTCATGGGGGGTTTTCACCTTCAGCCTATAAATGAATCCCCAGACTGGGGGATCCGCACATCCGGAAGGGGTGGGTAGGGGTACAGATTCTCTTAAGAGGGGCAGCTGCTGTTCACCAGTTCAGAAATAATCACTCTGATTTACACTGAAAGCCAATTTACCTCATTCTAGTGGAGAACACCGTGACCTGGCTAAATGGATGTCAAGTTTTATCCTCTGCATCGGGGATTGCATGAGCAGAGCCGGCTGGGGCCAGGGGTCAGACTAGATGGCCCGGGAGACCCCTTCTGACTCGCTTTTTTGCCATGTCTCTTCTTCTTAAACCAGGCTTGGAGCACATGACCTTTCAAGTAGAAGACTGCAAAGTAGGCCACCCTCCCCACAAAGCCCTGCTCAGAGCACCCCAGGGACCCGGCCCGTAAAGGGGGAAACGTGGGCCGTGCCCTGCTGCCTCGGAAAGCACAAAAGACCTCCAGCTGAAGGTCCAAGTCCCAGGCCGCGAAAGGGGCTCTGATCCCCGGGGGGGGGGAGGCGGAGGGGCTGGGCTGGGACCCTGAGGAAAGAGCTGGGGCTGGAGCATTTGGCCAGATCAAAGCACTCGCAACACACCTCCGGCAACAACACACACACCCATCTCCCTGCAGAGGCTGAAAAGAAGCAGGTGTGGCTCATTTAAAAACCGGGGAACGCGGGACTCTTTCCCTGAACATTTCCAGGCGGATGCCCGTCCCAGGGTGTTTAACCGACAGGTGCGTTTCCCGCATCCCTCCGACTGCTCAGGGAGCCTCTTCCTCTGTACAGCCGGTTATACAGGAGCAGATTCCCCGACCGCTCCACCCCACTTGAGAGCTATCCGGCCACATTTCCCCCCGTGCAGAATTCATGCCGTCTGCTCCCACACCGACGCAGTTCGTACGGTGCAGCGGCCCGCCGTCACGGGTGACTTGAAACACGGGGCTCGGTTTTGCCGAACCCCAGTCCCACTAACAAGCGAGCCCCTGTTTTCCACTCGCAACCCACGAGGAGAGCCAGGATTCGCTGTCAGGGGCCAACTGTGGCTTGATCGCCGTGGCTCGTTATCTCAGCTGCGTTCAGACCACACGAGAGCCCACATGGGTCCTGGTGCGCTTCCGCTGCCCTCAGTCCTCCTGTGGGTATCGAAGGGTGCCCTGAGGAACCATTGGGGTGCCTCCCCACCCACAACTGCCATGGAAGCCATTTAGCAAGAGTGGCAAGAACCACCCAGTCGCCCTTGCCAAGCAGCTAGTCCTCAAGCACTGCTGATAGCCATGTGGGTGGCTATCAAACGCTTCCTTGGCTCCCAGCCACTGACGGCCGTTTTGGGCCAGCGGCGGTGACAGGAGAGATCCATCGACTCTGCTCTTCTGCAAGGCCTTCCAGCCCGGCCGCACCGGCCGGGCCAAAGAACTGCTCTACCGGCAGCCTGTCTCCTCCCTTCTCTGATCATAGTCCAAATCCCACACAGCTCAGCCCTCCCTGCCACGGTTCCCTCCGCAAGTTTTGGATTGCAGCTCTGAAGGAGCAACTGCCCGTTACTAGTCCAACCTAATAAAATTACTGCCCCGTTACGGCTTCTGGAGAACGTCTCGGGGTCCCTGCCAGGGAACAGTGGGCTTCGTTTGCTCAAGGGTATGCTTAGAAACCCCACCAGGCACGCAACAGCAGGGTTGCTATACACACAAAGAGAAGACATACACGAGTTGTGCGTTGCCACTGTGTGGCAGCAGAAGGCAAGCTAATCTGCAGAAATGTGTCAACTAGTTATGTCCATGGGAAAGACACGGGGAGCGCTTCGTTTTTTTCAACCTGGCGTCCAGGTGTGGTGCTCTCCGGATCTGGAGGACTACAACTCCCGTCTTCCTCAGAAGATATGCTTTCTCACCAGAGCTGCAACGGTACTAGAGTAAGGAAAGCTGCTTTGCCTTAATGGTAGGGGAACGAAAGTTGCCAGGCAGAAGCTGATCGAAGCAGTGCCAGGAAGCAACCTAACGCCCTGGAACTGCGTGCTGATTTTAAGCCTCTTCACACGCATCAGCTCGCCACCCCGCTCACAAGAAAAGCCTTAGGTCAGCCAGTGTGATTACCCCCATATCACAGAATGGGAAGGCCGAGGCCGAGAGACAGAGAGCAAGCCCCAGGCTGAGGCAAAATGCAAACCAGGGGCTTCGCAGCTGCATATAGTAGCCAAGAAACGGAACAACACCAGCTATCCGCGTTTCCAGGTAAGAAACTGAAAACCCCATTCGTTTCCCCCCTTGTAGATCTATTGCGGCCTTTAAAAGGTTAACGCTGCCCCCCAACAGGAGAAAAGCTCCCCCTTCTCAGCTGGAGGTCAGGAGACCACGTCTCCTCAGTGCTTGCAGCCAAGGAAGGCCCTCTTGCTGCATTCTGCACGATCTGGAATGGAAAATCCACCAAGCAAGCCCAGCATCCACATCGAGTCTTCTGGGACCGCAGAGACCACCCATCCCGTTTCTCTGCAGGGTGGGGAACATTCTCCACCCATGAGTAAACAGGACTGGCTCAGCCAAGCAGCCCCTTCAAATAAGATGCCGAATGCCAAGCCTTGGCGCACCTCCTCGGAAGTAAGCAGGAAAAGATCCCTGCATGTCCAGGAGGGGAAGCTGGGGGCCCCTGTGTCCACCGGCATCCGATCACACACAGCTGTTACTGCTTTTTATTGCAGCTCTCCATGGTGCTGAACTCCACCCTGAAAATATGGGTCTACCACCATGGAACGCTCCTATACAGCTCAAAATAGAAACTGCAAGGGATGAGGTGCCCTCCTGACCTTTACTGCACAACAAGCAGGAAAAGATGCACCTCCCGCCTGCTGGCAGGAAAAGCTCGTCTCCAACCTGCAGTCACTTTCATCGCATCTGATGCATCTGCAGCAGCCAACAACGCCCTTGGAAGCTTATATCAAAATAAATTTGTTCGAGCTCTGGATGCCACAAGGCTCTCTTCTGGCTTTACTGCAGCAATGGCGACCCCTCTGAACATTCCTAGCTCTGCAGCTGCAATTCACCAGTATTATTTATTATCTGGAGTACTTTCCTGAAGCCCTACAGAGCAAGGACTGGCCTGAAGCAAAGGGCTCTTTGTTTGAAGAGCTCTCCTTAAAGGCCTCAGTCTACCTTAGGACAGGTTTCCTTCACCTGTTTTGGGAACTATTTCAAGCCACTCCCTTTTCAGTCTGCCCGTTTTATTTTATTCTTTCGCATTTCACGTTTTCTCAGTATAGGGTCCCAAATGTCAGGCAGGCACCTTCCCAGACCCCACATGGAGAGTCTGTGAATTGAATCTGGGACATTTTGCCTGCAAAGCCACTGTTCCGACAATGAGCTGCATTCCTACCTTCTGTCATTAGCTGAATCGTTCGGTCTTCTGGAAGATGCTCCAGAGCCTTCTGGACCTCCAGGAAGACAAGTCCTACCAAGACATCAGCCTCTGCTTTTTCCACTGTAAGGAGAACAAACTATTTCAGCTGTTGTTGTTGATCATGTTCTAGTAGGTCTCCCCTACAGAGATAACTGATCCAGAAGTTGACAATACGACCAAGATCAGAGGAGTTGCTACAATCAGAAAATTTACCATGCATGGATGCAGCATCGCTCCGGGAGGGACTTCCTGCCTCTCTCCACCGGGAATTAATTCTTGCGGGCTGGCCTTCAGGCAACCCACAGTTTTTAGTCTCACAGCAGCTATAGATGTCAGCAGGACCTTCAAAGGAAGCCAACTGAGGAGGAAAGGAGCACAGAGTCACTGTCACAATCACTACTCTGTTTCCTTCCCGGTCCTCCTCATCTATTCCTCTTGGTTGCCAACTCACCTATTCCTTGCTTTGTTGAAAGAGCAAGCTTTGTTTGCAGACCCCCACGGCTGATCAGCTGTCGCAACCTTCAAGTGGCAGGTAATGCAGATCTGGAGAAAAACCAGTCAAGTCTCTCCTCAGGAGAAGCCAGTTAGAGCAGGAGAGGAATTGAGATAGAAAAAAATTGGTAGAACTATAGTCAATGTGTACATTAGCAAGGGCTTCTGATCTCCCAGTTATTTAATAGCAATAACTAAGTGTTTTTGTTCTGAAATGTTTGTCGAAGGATGTTTGTGCCAAGACGGCAAGGTCTTCCGTGGTGTTCTGGTGCTCAGAGAACAAACAGCCTGGCTGAGCATGTACAGAGACGTGGTATTCCTTTTCCAAGGCCGTGACTTCGTTGAGGCAAC